TTTACTCGTTTATTTTAACTACATTTTTATATATTCCCTCTCCTCGTCATACCTTTTTTTCTTATTTGTCCTAGCTCTTTTTCGTCTGCTGTGCAATGCCACCACCTGGCGGTTCAAGCAGGGATTGCTTCACCTGGTTTCATGCTGGTTTAGTAGCGCACCGGTCTGCAAGCCACAGTCATCTAATCTTTTCACCAGTGAACCTTATCCAGCCTTTGATGTCCAACCTGGTAGAGTTCTTTAATCAAACAATCAGACAAAAACTGCTGCTTTTTAATATGTGCAAACAAATGACTGATTGATAGCAAATAGCTGCAACCAATGAAAAGGATTATAATATTTATTCAATAAAGTAAATCAACGTGGTGTGTGAGGGTGCAGTGTACAGGAAACACATGAAAGTAAAAGTGGGAAGAAACAAGATTGAGCTCCTTAAAAAGTGAATGTCTGAAGGAAGTGGCGACTGTGTAAGCCATTGTATTGTTTCCTCAAAAGGTCGCAAGTGCTTTGTCTCTACATTCCAGCAGATCTGCACAGAAAGGGACAGAAAGGTGGAGTGCTGCGTCTGACTGAACAGAAATCTGAGGCAATAGTCTGGTTTTCTGGTGGGGATGGGATGCTAGTATAGGACTGATGTTTCATTTTGCCACTGAATGCACATACGTATGTCTGACGTCCATCAGAAAATGAGGATAAAAAGAAAGAGAGACGAAAACTGAGGGATGATTTTATTCATTGCTGGATAAACAAAAACTAGCAAGAGACATCCCCAGTCCTGTAGCAGGGCAATAGGGGGAAAAATGCTCAAATAGTCCTTTTCAACTGTACTTTTTCCCTCTGTATGCCTTTTGTTGCGAAACCTGGATAGGACTGATTGAGATCTTTTCAGGACACACAGAAAACAGGTTATAGAAGCCTAGAGGCAACAAGTAATCTTGTATTATGATTTAATGTTGATTGAAATAAATGTAATCTGTGTTTTAAATGGCTGCTTAAATAGGGGTGGAGTAACCCATTTATTAGTTCACAG